GTTTGCACGGTGATGACGGGCGTTGTCATCCATAAACACAAATTGTGCGCCCATGGCGCCCCAAAACAAACATACATGTTATTCCAGAATGATGTCCTGATATATTTGGCTTGTCATGATTCCAATTTGAACATGCAGGTCAGTTCTGGAACCCAGAATAATTCCACGCCAAACGAGCACTCCTGCACCACCGTAACGGTGTCGTTCAATGATGTTTTCTTGGTGGTAACGGGTACCTGGAGCTCTCCATATGAAACGTCCGGCGAGAATCAGACTGCAAGCTAAACCTGGACTCGTCGGAAAACATCACACAAGCCCACTGTTGCGGTGTGTCCACAATGCATGCTCTCTACTCCAGGCTTACTTACCGCAGGCGACAGTGAGTTGCAGTAAGTGGAACGCATCTGACAGGTCTACGAGCATATAGACCAATCTGCCCTAAGCGTCTGTACACGGTTTGCCTTGAAATTGTCGTACCAGTGGCTGAAGAGAGCTGACGAGACAGGTCTGAGGCTGTGCTCCGCCCTGTTTCTTTTTGGCAGTAACTGCCAAATACCGGTCCTCATTCGGCGTTGTAACTCTGGGGCGACCTGTGCTGTAACGTCTACTCACATTACCATCATCTTGGAATCGTTGCCAAAGCCTGGAGATGACACTCTGGGCAATTCCAAGTTCGTCTGATACTTCCAGTTGGGTACGCCCACATTCCAGACGGCCGATAATTTTACCACGTAAAAAAAAATCATCCAAATGCGTCCTTTGTGTCATAACTATTCGGTTATTGCACTGAAATGCTTATAAAGCGCCTGCGAACAATTTTACTTCTTTGCCTGTATTCCTTATATATCACTCTCTTACACTCTCGTCATTGTGACGTACCATCGGTGTCATCTGGTTACTTCCTGAAATTTGTATATGATTCTTGAAGATGTGTGTAGTGATTTTACAGGTGATATATTTATTTTAGAGATCGATTTCCGCGTGACTCCGAATTATCCTTAATTTATGGACATGAGTGTACAAAGGGCCAGCGAAATCTATGCCACTTACCTCAAATGGTTGAGCTTTTTCCACTCGGTCAGCAGGAACAGCAGCCGATATCTCGTGTCTAGCTTTACCATTATACTTTTTACAAAATCTACAATCATGTAACACAGATTTTACAAAACATCTAGCTTTTAAAATCCAAAATTTCCCTCTTTCTTGCACTAAAGTTTCATTTACTCCACTATGAAGTACCTTTTCACGACAGTTTAAAATAATTAAAGGAGAAAAATAATTATTTGGTAATATTGGCTGAATTTCATCGACATCTAATGATGATTTTACTATTCTACTTCCAACTCTTAAACAACCTTTTTCATCCATTACTGGATTTAACCCAAACAATTTGGAATTATGAGACAATGGTTTTTTAAATTTCACATCATTCAATTCTTGCAAAAAAATACTCACCTTGTGATAAGATTAATCCAATAAACACATAGCATTACATATTTCATTTTGGTCACAGGACCAATCACTCTATTCTGTGACTTTAAATTATTAATGAATCTAAATACATATGACGTTACTCTTAAAAGTTTACCTAAGTCACTAAAAGTTCTTCTATTTTTAACACAGGTTGTAAAGGTTGAACACTGCTGGTAACTTGAGTCACAACTCTTTCTTCAACACTATCTACTATGTTACAATGCTCGTTCACTTTAGACCAATTTATTTCATCTTGATGGAGCCATGGAGGTCCATGCCACCACACTTGATGTACTACAAGATCACTCACTTTAACACCGCGTGTGATTTTATCGGCCGGATTATCTGAGCCCGGACAATGATGCCACATACTCGAGGATGTTTTGTCTTGAATTTCAGACACTCGATTTTGTACGAATGTTTTCCATAGTCGTGGTGAGTTCTTTATCCAGTTAATCACAATAAGACAATCTGTCCATAAATGAATCTTAGCTTTAGGAAAATGCACACGGACTGTAGTTACAAGTCTTGCACCTAACACTGCTGCCATGAGCTCGAGTCTTCGTAAAGAAAATTTTTTCAGGGAAGCCACTCTGCTCTTGTCTATCACTAAACTTGCTCCAGAATATCTTAAGCTACGGAATTTCACGTACACTGCTGCTCCGTAAGCACTTTGAGATGAATCACAAAAACAATATAGTTCCAGTGTTTCAGGCGTTTCATCAACATCACGAAAATACCACCGAGGTATCTGTATATTAGCTAGATCACATAGTTTCCTATACCATTTTTTCCACTTGTCTTGCAGCTCTGGTGGGATAATTTCACCCCAATCAACACCTTTCAGCCGTAAATCCTGAAACAGAACTTTTGCTTGAATAACATATGGAGGAAGAAATCCAACAGGATCGAAGATTTTTGAAGCGGCTTTTAAAACACAACGTTTTGTTTGGTCATTTGACTTGATGAAATCAATAACGTCTTGTGCATTAAAACAGAAGATATCCTTAATTGTATCCCATTGAAGTCCAAGAATCTTTGAGGGGGAATCTCAGTCAGGCAATTGGAAGCTAACGAAGTTGTCACTTGATTTATACTGGTTTTTACAGTATCCTAATTGGAATTCCATTTGGTCAAAGTCATTGATGCCTTTTTCATTATATCATTGGCTTCATGATATATTTATACAGCTTCCTCCTCCTTATCTGATCCTTTCTGTGTAATCGAGTTATTTATAAATATTAATCGAGTTAATATTTGTAACGCCATTTCATTTTGTTCTTCGTCAGAAATATTTTTAATTCCTATAGATTCAATATCCCAAAACGATTCGACACTTTTTAGAAGTTTCTCTTCTACACTTACGTTTAAACACGCATCATGAATTTGAAAGTCTGGTGAAGAAAATTTGCCTTGTATATACCACCCAAACAAGGTTTTCATCGCTACGGCATTTCTGTTTATCCTTTTTATTTCTTCGCTTGCTATTTTCCACATAATATCCGCGCCGATTAAAACGAAAATATGACTTATTCGATCGGGGCCGCCGCAGTCTGTCAAAGTGATGCCGAATGTTTGGAGGTTGGATTTTATTTCTTACATTTTATTTCCCTCTGGAACAATGCTCCACAGGGATGACGCACATATAACTTGATCCCCAATGTAAGCTTCGCATCTCTGTATTCGAATCCTTCACTAAATATAAACATCAGTATCCAAAGTTTCAGAAAATTATGCAACGACTCTCTTCCTATGGCCTAGATCTCTGTCAACTGTAAGTCCACATACTGCTTAGTGAAATTTTACATGCTGTGATTATGGATAAAACGGGTCCCCTCGTGAACTTTATAAACTGCAATAAATCAATATATCTGAAATAACCCATGGACACCCACCTCTTCAGGATTTTTATTGCAATTCATTTTAACATTGTGTTGCTAGTACTAATTATAGTTATCTCATTATGTTTATATGTTTATTAATTATGTTTATCTCCTATTTTTGTTGCACCAAATCAGACATTAAATTTATCTTGTGAATCTCAAATTATATTCTGATTATTTTGTAATCTACTTATGTCCTATATCATTATTTTAATTAAATACTGGATGCAGGGCGTACTGTGAGATTGCACGATGTACCATAATAGGCAAACTCTAGACCTTTTGGAAAGCTTCAGTCTATGTAAATTCCTATAAAACTTGTAATCAGCCCCCTTTTTTAAGAGTTAGTATGGGAAGGCATTACCAGTTGACCTATGGTACATCGCTGGTGTCCCCCATACTTTTACCTTTACCTTTACCTTTCTACATCTCGTACTCGTACATCGGCATTTGTTATGACTGGTACATCAATGACTTCGAGATTTATGGATTTTTCAGGGTCATTAATATTTCGGAGCTAAGTTCAACTTTCTTTCGACGCCAGTGCTTCTCGTTCTTTTCACCGAAAGTATGCAAATTTAAAACAGTTTCTCTAACGAACGCTTGCAAACAGCCTCATGTACTGCAGCGCCACCTTATTGGACGTTATTCAAAAACACGTACGCTCGAACTAGTTAGTTCGAGTTTCGGCAGAGAACTATTTTATTTTCATTTGAGTAATATTTCTTTGTTTAAATTTTACCAGTTTTGTTTAACAACTTTACAGCTAGCCGTGGTCACAACGCTACATTTCTCCTTTCACTGGTAATTGTAATTTTCTTGATAAATCTTCTCGAATTGCAGAGATTTGGCTACCGCCGTCAAGAAGACACCTCACAATACAATTCTTCTGTCTACCCTGAGCCACTGCATACACCGTTTGAAGCATAATATTAGATCCAGTTTCGGCCGAAAAATTTTGAACAATTTCCGCCGATAATGCAACAGATGTAAAAAACGAACACGATTTCTTGACCACTGCCAACGAAATACGTGTTTTTATCGGAATTTTGCTTCTAACTGGTTATCATTCAAATACCTGCAAACGTGACTACTGGTCAGATGCGGTAAATAATCTGATGTGAGAAATGATAAATAATACTCCTCATGGTACTCGGTTTGTGATGAAACTAACACAGAATATTGTTAATCCTTCAAGTTACACTTTATATTTTGAAAACGTTTTTATAGCATTTATCTTTTGAAAAGTCTTGGTGAACAAGGTTTTCGAACTACAGTAACCATATGAGAAAATCGGATAAACCTCTAAGAAAACGAGTTTCCTTTAGAAGAATCTAAGTCTATGCGAAAGAAAGAAAGATGCATGTCTGATTTGGCATTTGAAGAAAAATCTGAGATTTTCCTGGTGCGATGGAATGATAATAGTACTGTCACTATAAATTTCAGCACTTTAGAAGCATTCTTTGATCTGAAGAGGCGAGTGAGAGAACACAAAGATAAGGTTAACTTAAAGATGCCAAATTTGATTAATTCTTACAACAAACATATGGGCGGTATGGATCATCACGACTGGTTGGCTGTACTTTTTCCATTAAAGTTCGTGGAAAAAAGTGGTACTAGCCCCTTTTTATACGTTCGCTGGATATGGCTATGGTAAACGTCTGGATATTTCACAAAACTCTGAACAAAAATGAAGCTCTAAACTTGAAGGAGCTCCGAAGAGCTGTAACAACAGTTTATCTAAAAGAAACTGTAATAAGAACAAAAGACAGGCCTAGAATCTGGACTGTACCTTCTGATGCAAAAGAAGATATTCGTAAAGATAGTATTAGTCATTTTTTACTAAAGCGAGAAAAACAGCGTCGTTGTCAAAGAGAGGGCTGCAAAAGAAAACCAAAGCCATACTCTGACAAATGAACAAAACTTTTTGTCAGGCTTGCTTTGGACCTTTCTACCAAGATTAGAGTGAAATTCATCTGAAAAGTGAACTATCTTGTAAATAAGGAAGTATTAGTCGAACAAAGTAAAATTTATACACGGAAATCACTTTTCATCATTGAAGAGAACACTAAAACATGCAAGTGCAAATTTTATCACCTTTATCCCAGTGTCCTATTTACAGGACGGGCCAGATTTCTTATATAAAATATAAAAAAAATTTCTAATTTTGTTATATTTAGTTTACGTATTTAAGTTTAATTAACCTTAAAAAATATCATTCTTGTCAAATTTGAACAAATTAAATAAATTGGGATAAAATGGGTTAAAGTTATTTTCACTGGTAGTGTTACCCAGCAATGTATAATCAAAATAAAGCCTACAGAACGATATTTCACTTTTATATAAATTTGATGACACTCATAAGCGTTAGCATTCATTTTGATAACAAAATCGGTGTGGAATTTATAAAAGTATTTAAAAACATAGAGAGAAGCACAGTAGCATTAGGTTTAGAATTTTCTAAACCTAAATTTCCTCTTAAAACTGTAACCATCTGCCATATAATTTTTCTCTTAACAGCTTCCGGAAAGTACTGCAATTCCACCTGGGATGGTTTTCTATGTTGGCCGTCAACGCCAGCTGATTCCATCATCCATTTGCCGTGTCCGCCAGAGAAAGGAGTCGATATCACAAGTAAGAAATTTTTAACATCATTTTTCTTCACCGAATATTGGAATTCTAATAATTATTTGCCTTTAATTACCATTAATTTGAAAGTAGAAATTTAATATTTAATCTTCTAAGCAGAGATTGTAGGAATTTATGCATTTGCTCAAACTGATCGAGATTGATTCCAAATTGTCCAATTTTGAATTAAGAGAATAACGTGTTCAATATATACGTTTCCTAAAACATTTTGTGAAGCTTCTGCTAATGAATATGATTAACAGATATTACTTTATCTTTATAAGCGTTATTAATTATTAGGACTTGTAGGATTAGGAGCTGTAATTAAGAAATAAAATTATTCTTAATTATTTATATGGAGATAGTAAATCACAATTCAGATGTATTCTGCTACCCTTGTTTAACACTAAATGATACTCATCGCATTTAAAAATAACCTTTTGCACTATTCCTTTCATTCTGCTTCTTCGTTTTCATCTGATTCTGATAATTTAAAATTTAATCGAATTTACATCGTTTGAGTTGACTCAAAAATATACTTGTGAAAGAAAAGTGAGAAAAAGGTTTTACTTCATAAGAAGCTTCCTGTCCCATCATCCTTTTAAAGTGATCAAATATACACTCTTAACAAATCTAGGAACGTCAGCTCCCCTGAGCTGTCTACAATAAAAGTAATAAGTATAGATTTGCCAGACTTTCCGCCTTGACCGGAACTCTACTAGTTTGACGTTTCTACGTCCCAGACAGTTTATCATTTTGTTCCGGTTATTGGTAAAATTTTAAAAGTGCCGAATACGCAAGAAGTAAAAGTAGTGCAGCGTCGAGTAATAGCGATTTGGCAGTTCAAATATCCCATCTGTTACACTAATTTTTGTCAATCTAAGCATTTTGTGCCTAAATATTTGTGCTTTTAATGTTCTCTAGATATTTTTGTCTAAATTTGTAGCATGTATGATGAATTTATATATTTTATTTTTTCATTCAAATATTTTTCACGGTATTTCTAACACCATGTCGCCAATGAAGTCCAGATATTGATATTTCATTGCTTAGATACTTTGTTTCAATTAGAGTTGACACACTTCGGCAATAAAACTTCCTTAGTTGAACTCCCATTTCGAGTCGGAATTTTCGATTATTTTGTGCTACACATTAAATTAATTTAATCTTCAAAACGCCAAAAAGAAAATGTGTGTTTATTAATAAATTAAAAACATATTATCTGTTTTCGAAAAAGCCTTCACGAACGTACTGACGAAGTGAAATATGAAGTTTGCATTTCAGAATTTTCAGTAGCTCATGGTGGGCGATTGATTTCCAAGCAGTTAGTAGCAATGTTTAGACCAGCTAGAATAAAATGTGAAGCTGTTCATTTTGATTCGGCCATTGTTGTTTGATGAGCTTTGCAAAGATTTAAGTAAAACAAATTTTGTGATGGTATCAATAGATTTTTCTAACAGGAAATAAACTAAATCTGTATCAGTTGTAAGGTATTTTGCACCGTTAAGTGGTGTAAAAGCTTGCACGCTGACCATCTTTTTTGAAACTGGCTTTTTAAAGTCAGTGACATTATTACTATAAGATGTTTCTCATGACAAGAATTCTCTTGCTCTTCCTTGAATCAAACTTTTGTCACTTCTTAATTATATTCTTACAAAACTAATATTATTCATTAACGAAAAGCACACAGTATAGTGATTTAAAATCAGATAAATAGTTTTCTATAACTCTTTATTGGGAAATAAATTAGTTACACAATTAACCAATTATTTATCTGGCTGAAACAGTTTTACCTTTTCATTTATTTGGTGGATTAGTTTAATATTTCATTATTCAGAATATTTTATTTTGAAGAAAAGCATTTATACACAACATTTAAATTTAAAAAAAATTCTTATTTGCACACTATTAAAAGAGAATTTCAGTTCTTATGAAAAGGTTAACTGATGGAGATCAGATATTGACTTTTATTTTGTGCGCAGTTAGGTTCTAAATCTAGGTAATAAACAATATTGTATAAAATCTATAAGCAATGTGTTTAACAAACGCAGTTTACGTTTGCTACAGTGCTTGTGGTCTTATGTGTATCTGCTATGTTAACTAAAAATAAAGTGAATAAAACGCTTTACTGTGGCCTAAGATGTATATGAGTATTTGGTATTTTTAAAGCTTTTCCAGGAAGAGAATGAAGACTTTAATGTGGGATAAATTAAGTACGAAAATATGTTTTCTTTAATGTACTATGAACTGAATTTTTTTAAGTAATGTAGGATGGACATTACTTAAAATGCTATGCATGTAAGATGGACGCTCGAAAGGCAATTTAAGAAGAAAAAGTCATGTTTTATTCTGAACCAAATGGCAATAAAATTATGTTATCTATATGTCAATTACTTAACCCAATAGTTCATAGCTTATCAGATTATGTTAGATTATTTAATTACGCCAAAACTTTTGACACCTATCTTTGCTTAGATAGAATTATCAGCAGATAATTGAATTAAGATAGTTTTTCTTAAGAAACGCCTTCGCATATAATTGCTTATTTATACAAAAATACTTCTTTCTTCATCAGAATTCGCTAGTCGACGCTGCAATGAAAATGGTCGTTGGGACGGCCGCTATCCAGACCAAGAAACAACTAAAGGTTGGAGTAATTATACGGATTGCTTTACCAAGGAAATCAAATTATTAATGGACAAGTTGTATACCAGTTCTGAATCAGATTTGCAGGTAAGTGAATGACTCTGTAAAAAATATATAATTTCCATGTATAATTAATTTCCATATAAAATATTTCTTTCATTACTTAAATATGAGCTTGCTGTTTCTAAATTTGAAAAAAAAAATGTGAGGTCTTTATTTCATAATTCGAATGAGTTAATCAAGTAAATGCAATAACAGAATGAAGATTAATGAATGATGCATAAGTTGCAAATTTGTGCGAAACCAATGTTTAAATATCCTCATCTTTTGCTATCTAACAGAAAAAATGCATTTCACCCCAATACAACTGTATACGCATTTGAATCTACCTGTTAAATCTCAGAATCTCGGCGATTTGTTATTATCTGAATTTCAGATAACTGCCGAAATTCCTTCTTCTGTCTCAAGTAAATTTCTCTTTTATGGTCTAGATATCTGTTAGTATCTTAGGGTTTTCTTATTTAATATTTAGCTACCTGGAACAATTTTGCTGAACAAACAGATATTACAAAATATGTTTAGAACTACTGTCTGAGGACACAAATCTGATGGAGTGCTTCCTTCCCCTCCCCAGTTGTATAAGCCACTACCATAGGTTTCCCTTATTTTTTATGTATGGCTTGAAGCGCAATTTTTCTCAAACTAGATGTTTTTCACTTTCTATACTTATTCTGTCAGACCTTATTTTGACAATAGTGAAAATCCCAAGATAATTCCTAGCCGCCAGATTTTCTTAGGATTTTCTGATGGTCAGATAGCCCGATATATGTTTCATGCTTTAAGATCTTACAAAAATATTTTTGAAACATTTATTCTGATGGGTATGTTTTCATAGGAAAAAGGAAATCCTACGTTTTAGTTTAAAATAAAACATCAGTATATTTATGAAAATAAATATGGCTTACTCATAATATGAATTCATATTATTTAAGAAGAATATTTTAACTACATTTATTTGACTGAATCTGAAAATATATTTATCAAGGAGTATTAAAAAAACAATGAAATCTCTGCTCTCGAACTCGTTTCTGAATTTGTTTCTGAAGACCGTTAGACATTCAAAATGTTCATAAATCGTAACTATTTTTTCCGTAGCAATTAATGTAAAATGGATAACTCAGTTCCTGATAACATAGAAAATCTTATGAATACTTTATAATAGTACGTCTACTCAGAGGTTCAAAACGCAAAAATAATAGAAATAATTAAATTTAATATTAAAAATAGATAAATGCAATATAAAATAGAGGAAAATTAATTTTACTATGCCCGTAAGAAGTATAGTGAAGGGCATAAATATAAACTGACGAGAAAGAGAAAAAGAGAAGAGGTTTGGTTTAGCATTTTTGACTATGGCGAAACACGCAAAGGCTATCTGTCTAAGGGAAAGGATGTCTTCATGGAAGACTTTATAAAGGAAACTTTCTTATATTCACGTTATACATATCGAAAACCACCAAACGCCCATGCAGGCAACCCGTTCGTCTGTGATCGATCCTAAGTCGAATTATCAATGTTCAGTGAATTTACCGCTAAACTACTGGCTGAAAAAAAGGGCAGAGGCCATATTATTTGGAAGGAAGAACTTCTTCCTTAATAACATCCGTTAACTGATTTGAGATATTCCCTTTGTCTTAGCGCCAGTTGACTCTGCTTTAAAATCCCTGCCCAAAGAGGCAATTTGCGCAGAGGGGCTATTAATTTCGTTTTGGCATTTCTCGTCGTCCACTATAAAACGGCGTTTTACTTTTCAAATTGTTGCCACCAAATAGTAGAGCCCTGCATTATATTTAAAGAAATCAAATTATGAAGAATCTAATAAAATAATAAAGAAATTAAATAATGAATGTATGTATATTTTTCGCATTGTGAAAAAACAACGATACCTAGAGATATCAAATTTTGAATAACGTAGTCCTCCACTCGAATATGGGCATCTGGAAATTCAAATTTTGAATTTTGAATTTCTTTTATTATTTACGTCGTATTTTATAAAATTTTAGCGAATTTTTGATTAACAAACTCAACGATTCCAAAGCGAGCAATGGCAACACTATGGGAAAAAACATTTACCTCCAGTTCGCGAGACTGTGTATCAGAAATTCTAAAGGTATGATCTTTTAAATAGCTTATGACATTTCTGTTGAATTGAGTTTTATGGTTTAATTGCAAAGGCCATGATATTTAATAAATAAAGGTAACACACAAAAACATTTTAAAAAACTCCTCTTTGGACGTAATATAAAATCTAACAGCTTTCAGATTTTTTTCATTTTAATTTCTCTAATTATTATCATTAAAATAACCTTAGTTTATAATATGTCTATCTGAAGCTTGTATGAATATTTGCAGCGATACTGTCATTAGTAAAAGATATTTTTTACTCAATACATTTTTTTTTACAAAGAACCCTCTGAAGATACTGAAAAAAGGAAGTATATACTAAACAGCAAACATTTAGCATTGGCATAAGAGTGAACAAACTTACAATTCTTGATTTTGATGCAGCGCAGCCTGATTGTGAATTGATGTGCGTTAAACGATTTTTCATTGAAATTCAGATTATTAAATTCAGATTACACAGCTTTGAATTCCTATTGTTGAATATTCTTATTCTTTGGTGACCGCATATTAAAATTTTCATAAATTTAATTCTGTAAATGATTTTCCATTCGATATGAAATTTGATGTGGTTTTACGGTATAATGTTGTAGAGCCATTAGATTAATTGGAAGCAGAAAAGGTGAAAAATATGCAATCGCCCTCGCCTGGAATCGAACCACGGACCTCTGGAATACCGGCCCAGCGTGCTACCGTTACACCACGAAGGCACGCTAGGAAAGTGGGAGTTTTAACATTATGAGAAAAAAGGCATTTTGAGCGAATTTGACGCTTATATCTTTTGTTTCAGATCGGTTCATTAGATTTCATCGCGGTTTAACGGATAACTAGATTGGATTGTTCAGTACTAGAATTATCTACTTGTTAAAAGGTATGTTTTTGAGGGGAACTTTCTGAACGATGTATTGGATTCATTAGATTATGGCAAAACGTACTATCATAAACATACTATATTAAACCACGGATTATCTCTTTAAACTGTGTGATGCTTTTATGGAAAGCATTGTAAGAAGTAACTAGTATTCATGTCATACACGGAAGTAACCATAAACTTCCGTACAGCTATTCGTTCGCCGGGATCTGAAGGGTTCAACGCTCAAATCGCTCACTCGTTGTTGGGCTGGAATTTCTTGTTAAAATTGGCTTCATATTCATGTTGTAAATTGGGAAAATCCATGCCCCAATCACTGTTCAAGATATGAGCAGTGAGGCGAATAACCAGCGTTCACCTATATTATCCATTCAGCTACTCGGCCACTGTTCTACCATAAATTAAATTAAACAATTTGAATAATTATTGCGCCATTTTTCGAAGAAAAAAGAAATACAAATGGAAAACAGGCAAAAATGTGGGATTAGATGGGCTTACTAGATATTTTTAAAGCACACAAAGACTGTGTATCTAAGAGCAGACGTGTACCTAAGAGATGTCTTCGGGAAACACATTTAAGATAAAGTATGATTAGCATAAAGACATATCAGCCAACTGGACTCTATTTATTCAAAGGAAACCATCGTAATCCAAGTCCCTGATTCAAACTGATAAATTTCGGCGAAGTGTAAAGCTATAAAATACTCTATCCTCTCTAACTAAAGAAGCGTTTCTTAATAATTTAGGGAAAGAAGAACTGAAGGGAATACAAAGAATCCAATCCTAATTAGCACAGAAAGATTTATGAAATTCCTCTTTCTGACAAAAGCTCAATATTACTTAGTCCGTAAATCTTGAGTCCTTAAGTATAAGTCCTTAAGTATAGTCCTTAAGTATATCCTTTAGCTTCCTTAAGTATGGCTATATATCTTCCTTTTGTTTCTGAATGTCATATTTTTTCTATTTTAGACTAGCATCAGAAATATCTTATACAAAGCTATCTGCAATTAGAAAAAAAATGATGTTATAACTTCTTCTAAACTAAATCTTATGGAGTTGCAAAAAGATTTATGAGGTTAACGATAATCAGCAGACAACCAAACATGAAATTTGAAATCAGCTTAAATTATATAGTACTCAAAATGGTGTTGAAAAATGCAAAAGTGCCTTCTTCTCATTTTCAAGCACAGTTTTCTTCACTAGAGTTTCATAGTGAAGTTTCCTCTCATTATAAACAAAGCATCCAAATGTACTGTACCCCAAAATTGCTACGAAAATGTTAATCTTTTATAAAATTATTTGAAAAGAATTATTCTAGAGTAATGCAGTTTAAAAGACTGTGTAAGAATCGGGACTAGTTTTCTCCCAAAAATCTACATTCCAGGAAGGAGTGTAAACAAGATGCTATTCCGATCTCATCTAGGACGCTTTTTGGTTTGTTTGCATGTTAAGTCATAATAGCTTTTGGAGTCATTCAGGAATTAAAAAGGAGCGTAATAAAATGCTAAACATTCAGATTCACCCAGGTGATGATAAATTTTATACTTCATCTGTTGTGAAAAACCAAAATAACAATACTTAAGAAATCATAGGCATAAAGATCTAAGAATAATAATCCTATCAATAGCGCTTATGCAATGAAATCATATTTATTGCATTCATTACTAAATAAAATGGGTTGCATTATAGTACTTGCATTGTTTACCTTAAATGTGAAACTACGGGTATTTTAAGATCTTTTCAAAGATATTTTCTGCATCTTCCGTGTTTCAGCGTAATTTACAAAAATCAACAAATCCATCTGTATAGGCAATAGAAGTAAGAGAACTACGTGATAAATTATTAAATGTTTAACTTGTTAAAAGCTTAGAAATTAACTTTTCAATAACATTTTAAATTTAAAGTCACGTTCGAAAATTCTTTTTTATAATTTCGAAAATGCAGCAAGAGCTTAAACTCAAAGTAAAATAACTATAACTGAGATAATAATAACTGCGACATACCAGCACTGAAGTGTAACAAAATTTAAAATACT